GAAGAGCGTGGGAGTGAGTTTGTTGTCAAAAACACAAAAGGGTCACAAACACATAAAGGCGCTCAAAGACCAGGTAGTAGTATTCATCCCATGTAATGTAACCTCAGTATTTTAACGCGGTTAATATTTATTTATTTTATTCAACTAAAATTTTTAATATATAAATTATATTTTAAATTTGCGGTAAATAAATTATATTGTAATATAAAGTTAATTTTAATTAAAATTTGATGAATATGTATTGTTTCTGTAAACTTTTTTATACCGTTGATTAATAAAAATCAAAATTGGTAAGAATTTGAAGATAATAACTTATTTTCTCTTTTAATCACTGATAATTGTTTTAAAAATATTAAAACATTTTATAATAATAAATGTGAGAAAAGAGATAAAAGAATAAAAAATATTAAAAGATATTCTTATTAAAGAAAATTTCTTATAAATATTATTGTTAAAAAAGAAAACTCTAATATTTTAGTTTATATGCATAACACTAATATTTTAGATTTTACAATATAAGACTAAATGTTTATTGTATATGATTTAAATTTATAATAAATTATATATACAAGTAAATATTATATTTGAATATATAAATTATATTTAAAATTTATATAATAGATATTTTTAATAATAAGTTATATTTTAGATTAATAATAAATATTTTATACTGTGATATTTTAATTATTGAAAATTTATTAAAATATTAAAATTACTTTATAAATTAATATAATATATAAAAATTAATTAGATAAGAAGTTTGAAAAAATCTCTAAAATCTCATTGAAAAAAAAAGTCTAAAAATACTCTTATTAAAGAGAAATTTCTAAAAAAAATTATCTTACAAAATAATCATTCATGTTTAATACAGAAAAGAATTTAATTTGAAATAAATGTAATACATAAAAATAAATTCTAAAAATTTTCTCATTTAAGAAAAAAGTATAAAATCTCTAAAAACACCCCGGTTAAAGAGAAACCGGTGAACATATATAAGATAAAAGATACAAGATGACTTAAATTTAAAAATTATAAAAAAAAAAAATAATAAAAAAAAGTGGTAAGTAAATATTATGTGTAGAAAATAGAAACACCGAAAGTTTTAAATTTATATTTTAAGTTGTTTTTTAATATGATTCATATATTTTACAGTAAATTCATGACGATGTCACACTATTATATCATCAACGGAAAAGAAGGCTTGAAAATGATTGGTAAGTAAAGAATTAAATTGAAAACTTAATCGTTAAAAATGCCAAAATAAAAGAAAAACAGTATTATGTGCGAGTATAAAAAAATAAAAGACTGAGAAATTTATATTCAACTCAATCCTGTTGAGATTACATTTGTTAAACTTGTTATCTATTTGTTGATAACAATTTTATCACAAGATTCACAACTAATCAGTATGTTTCATTTAAATTCTGAAACATTGCAAATGAAACTTTTTTTGCCTTCGCAAGACAAGATTTGTGCGTGAAAAAGAATATATTCTCTCCCATGAGAGTAAATTATAATTTACATCCTCTAGTTTAATACGTTTTTAACCTATTTCCCTCAACTTTTTTCCCCACTTGACCCTGTTTTAAACCACGGTAAAATTATTAAACAATTTGTCAAAGTTAATGTCCATTAATTTTGTGTTCATGTCATGTAACCCGCTTCTACTTATGATTAACGTAAATTGTCAAGTTTTTTGTGTGACATCATTACATTGGATAAAAGCTTTTTTTTTGTGTGATGTATAAATTATAGCTTTAAATTCTAAATATGATGTGTGTGTAGTTGAGTTTTCTTTTTAATGAAAAAAAAGGGTGATTACTTCACTAAAATCAAAGGTAAGATGTAGTGAATATTTGTGTTGTCATTATAATTATAGTTCTGGTCATTCCAATGTACTTTCAACACATAACTAACAAACTGCATAGGTTCTTCCAAACCATGTTTAATTATCGAAATGCATTACCAGAATAAGGAACAGTGACAAGCGAATCAACTACAATGTTTCAAACAATAAAAAATCAATAAACTCCTTTCATAGCCACGTGACATTTGGAGGTTGATCACTAATATTATTCATGATGACATATTGTAATGCAACATGATCAAATCCAAACATCCAATAAAAATTGTCACCTTGCCAGTTTAAAATGTCTGGATGGATACAATGTAATTTGCACAAATTTCAGATCAAAGAAGAAAAAAGAAAATAGTAAAACTTCTTCCTCAGAGAATCATACACATACATATAAGGTCTTTCACCTACCTAGAATGAGAACCTTAAATCTTTAAGGAAACTCTAACCTTGTTCTCATACATCTAGAAAAGCTGGGAAAAAAACTTGTGATGAATGTGAAAACCAAGATGCACATAGAAACAAACTAGGAGACTTTTATGATGACATCTGATCTGTAGTGATTTTAGTTTCATATGGATCCAAAGAACTGTTCCAGAGATGGAGCACTGAACACATTTGCCGCAGTTCTTTCGGTTTTATAAGGAGATACATGAAGCTGATATTTGATAAACCTCTGCAACATGATTTGTTGTTAATCATTAAAAGTTAGAAGACAAAATAAAGCATGGTGATGTTGTAGCCTAAAAATAATAATGATATGGTTATTGTATCAGAGAAAGAATTTCACTAGATTGATTGAGACATATAGTACATACAGCTAGCTGAGTGACAATTTCAGGATTTGAATCAATATGCCAATCAGGTTCCAATTGCCGAACAAATGATGACCGTCCATTCTCTGTGCTGCAGAACAGAACCTGCATGTAGGTACCAGAGAACAAAAAAGAATAAAAACGGTTATTAAGAAGCACAAGAGAAAAAGTAGGAAGTAGTATGTTGAAATCATGGATATTTACAGCATTCATAAGATTCACAGAAGACATGCATGTAACAGAACTGGATTGTCAATGTCTATTTATTGCTATTAATTTGCAGCATTTCCCTAATCCTTTATCTTCATTGTTGAAAAAACTATAATGATTAAGGAAGCAGGTATAATTATTTCAGAATTTCAGGTTTCAAGGACCTCTTGATAAGAACACTAAGAAACAAGCAACAAATGAGCCCAAACATATTCTCTTATTGTTGTTGTATTAAATAAGACCATTTTGTAGACCAACATTCCACACAGAATTTGTCTTTGGTGTTCTAAAACATTAATCAAAATGTCTTCTAAAAAAATTCAGAAAACTTAAAGTTCTATCTCTAAGTGCACTCTTCAAAATTAGCACATAGATATCCCTTGGAACATCTCGGATCAAGATGTCCTGTCACACAAATTTTAATCACATAGAGGGGTTCACTGTCAGATAATGTTAATACATTTTTAATACTGAAATAGATATTCCCATGTTGTCCATCAACATGTGTGATGCATACAAAAGGATGTTCTCATAAAGTGGAAAATAACTGTTTATATAAAAAAGACTTGGCTGACAGAAAACCCAGCAATGCCACAGCAAGGAGGTAATTAAGTTCTACAAAGAAAACATTGAGTAATTGTTTATGCACATTCACTTACCTTGTCCTTGACCAAACCACCTGAAGTGAATACTCCTGCTTCTTCCAACGCTAGAAGAACTCTTTTCTGCAAAAATAGTTCATATATAAAGTGTAAACATTTTAACAATATGGTATACTACAACAACGTGACACGAGTGGTATTAGACATACAAAAAATTTTAGTTTGCACCTATACTTAATACTAACATATGTAAGATATATACCATCTCAACAAGTTCCAATTAACAATAGCATGATGAAAATAAGAGTAAACCCCACTTTAGTTTCTGCAATTGGAAGCATCAATCACTTTGGCTTCTGACTTTACAAAATCTGCATTTTAGCCCAACTTTGTAAACTTTGTTCCTTTACCACTACATTTTCAACTGACATTAAGGACTAAAAAGTCTAAAATGAATAACATTTTGTTGGAAATGAACTAAAGATGGTTATTAAAGTTTAAAATGCTGAATCCTAGGGTAAGAGCTTTTGCTCAAGCAACTATACAATATCTTTGTTCATTTTTTTATAGAATCATTTGATTGTAGAAAACATTTGTTACATTTCAAGAAAGTAGTTAGATTTTCAGCATATAATGTGAAGTACTGTTAATTAATTCCATTAAGTACATCTGATAAGAAACAATGAGTGGTATAAGATGACAAATGACATACCTCACTTTCATCATCCAGAACTCGTTCCATGAGATATAAATCACAAAATTTTGTTATTTCCAGTAGTACTTCTAGCACAGAGGACCTCACAGTAGCTTGTTGCTGCCAAGAACAGAATGAACAACATTTATACCTTTCTCTGCATTGATGTCATTCAACAGACGTATAAGAAAAAGAAAAAAGACAATGTTACCACCTGCAGCTCCTCTGGAATACTTTCCTCAAGGATCACTCCAAGAAGTCGACAAGTTACCTACATAGTGCACACACACACATTGGCCATTACAGTTGGGAAACATTATCCACATGTCATAACTAACAACTCAAACTTGTAACAATAAATGCTCCCCATGTCATCAAGAGTCTCAACTCTCAATCTGGTTATAATCAACTATGTTGCACAAAGAAGGTTCATAAGATTTCTTAATCAGGTTTACCATAAGAACAATAGTATCTGCACCACCTATCAAGATAGACAAAATAAATAACACTTGATTTCATTGTATTATACAGTTTGTATTAAGTTTATGTAAGAATATATAGCAGTAAAAACAAGAACAATTTTACATCAATCTTCCAAAACCCCTTTCATTCAAACTCAACTTTATAAAGTGATCGCCCAACAAGTGTAAATGTCATGTAAATCTAGTCTATAAGCTAAGGCATATTAATTTACCTTTCACTACTAAGATCTATAGTAGTCATCCAAGTGAGTTATTTTTATGATTGCAAGTGACATTAAATTCTATAAGACGACTAAAACAACAAATGTGCAATGAACATACATCAGTAACACACAAGAGTACTGGAAATAATAATTACCTTTCTTCCTTCACTCAACTTCTGCCTAACTATCTGCCCCAAGGTTGGCTGAAAAAGTTAAAGAAAAGCAAGCTCAGAATTGTCAATCTCATGCAAAGCTGTCAAACACTTCCTAACTTCTGTTGCGCTAATCCAAAAGCATTCCCGCATTCTCTGAACTCCAAAGCATCAAGTAAAGGAAAGTGACAAAAACATTTTACCTTGACTGGCTGAAAGAACTCATCGACAACATTTTGGGCCCTTGAATCATCTGAGGGTGAACAAGCATCCGAAGGAACCACCGCTGCATTCGAATGAGTGGTGACTCCAGGATTACTAGATGAAGCACCTTGCCGTTTGTGTTGCCTCCTTTGAGAGCCAGAAGGAGATCTCAACAGCCTCCAGGTGAAAACAATTGCAACAGCAAGACCAGCAACCGCCCCAATAGAGCGTGAATCCTAATACCAAGCATGCCATTTCTAAGATCATTGAAAGAGACAAGCTCAAAACAAAGGCCAAAACAATAATTTGATCAATTATACCATCCAACTTGACTAAAAGAGAGGCAAGTAGCAGCAAATGCTAGTCTCACTATTTTCACCTTCCTAATAGCACCTCATTTACATGCCCCCAAACTACCCATTTTAACGAAACCTATTGCGATGCATACTAGGAAACTGTTTTCCATTTTGACAAAAACAAGAGCATAAAAACAAAAACTCACCCTTTATACCCACACCCAACAATAAATTAACTAGGTTAAAAAAAAAAAAATAGTTCAGTTTTACCACCAAAAACTAAACTTTCAGCGTTAGAATTGAGAATTACCCAATCCTGGATCACAACCATTAATAAAGGGGTAAACAAAACTCCCAAATCGAAACTTCAAACAAAGAGAGAAAAACAGAACAGGAAACAGGAATAAATAATTACGAATTGGGCAAGCGACAATCAACAAAAACATAAGATTTTAATATCTAATCAGATCCAATCGAATGATGGGCCGATTAAAAAATCAAAAAAGGAGCAAAATTGAGGTTAAAGCAAGGAAGCGAGTAGAGAGAGAGAATAGAAATACGAGGTTGTGGAGAGAGAGAGAAAAGAGATTGGAGATCTTGAAAGTGATGTAAGCTCCGAAGCGTTTGATGAGGTGGAAGAGCTCTTGTTTGGAGGTGTCACCGTCGCCACCGGTGGCCATGGCTCGCCGTCGCCGGAATCCTAAAATCGGAGACACAGATCAATTGGTCATGGTGGATCACTGTGAGGATTTTGCAGAGAAAACAACGAATGAATGTTTGGAAAGGCAAAGAAAAAGAAAAAGAGAGATTATGTTATGTCTCTCTTAGCCGTCAACGACCGCTATATGATGCCGTCAGACCTTACAGATTTGCTCCAAAAATGTCAATTTAACGTTACGTTGTTTTAGGTAAATCACTAATTCTAAATTCTTATATTTCATGCTCAATTGTTTTAGAATATACTACCGAAAAAATTAATTAAATTCACCTGCACTGTCATTCAAAATTTTAGATTTAATAACGTTGATTTTATAATAATTATTTTTAAAATAGTATTTAAAAAATGGTTTGTGATAATATATAAATTAAATTTTAAAAAAATATTTTGATACTATATGTTGAAAAGTTTTTTTTTTTTTTTAAAGATAGGAAAGATTATAAAGATAGTTGCAATGAGGATTGAACCTAGGTTCTCATGCTTCTAATTGTCCCAACCCTTCCCCACCCAACTAGGCTAAATATGTTGAAAAGTATTAAAACGAAGTAAAAAATACTCAATTAAGAACTAAGTTCTCAATCTTGTACTCTACCCAGTTAATCATTTTATACATATATGTCTCAATATTATTTATATAAGGATATCATATAAAACTTAGAGAAAATAATTTTAAATAATTATTTATTTAAAATCCAACTTACTTATTAAAAGATTTCAACCAGGCTCTCAGATCGTTGCAATGTATATCCACACAATGAGGTATTCTAATTTCTAAAACATTTTTTACTCTTTTCTAATTTTTATGTATCATAGTTAAAACATGTATCTAATTCACATGCTTACAGCTTTTACAACATAACATCTTTAGCAACATATAACTTATAAAACTTTATCATCTATCAACTTACAACTTTACAATATAATTTTCAGCATTCAACATATCAACTTACAACATATAGATTCATCATCATGTATCATCCTTCTCACAACTTATTCAATGTATTCGTAAATCCATTTACAACTTAACATAAATATCATCATACATCATTCATCTCACAACTTATTATCATCATTCAACTATAAAACATCTTAAATAATATATGTTCAACATACCCACGCCCGACGCCACTCACGGAACATCTAACATCATTGAGGTAAAGGGTCATTTGTCTTGCCTACGCCCAATGCCAAACTACTCGTGCTTGGCATGATTAAGGTAGAAAGTCTCCCAGTTTCATGTGTATGGCATGGCAAGAGCCCACACTTGACCCTAATGTGTAAGGGTCGCTACACAACTCACGTTCAGTGCCACTTCATTGGTGCCTGACGTGATTTCAATTTGAAACAATTATCTCCCTTCATGTGTTTGACGTCATTTAAATTACATTTAGCGTGAAACCACACCCAACACGATATTAGTTTTGCACTTATGCAGAACCTGATTTTAATCCAAACCACCTGAAATATAAAAATCCAAAGACATGCATTGCAACCTACAACATTCAAGAAATATAAGGAACTCGTTTCTATCAACAGAAATAACATACATCCATCAAAGATAAAAAAAATAATAATAATTCAACACTTTAACTCAACCACTTCAAGAGAATCTAAACCCCATAACTCATCCCCCACAAATTCAAACAATACCTACCAAGATTATAGTGATTCAAGATAACGAAATCCACATGCATTAACCGAATTCAATCACAAAGCTTCCCTTACCTCTTGGAGAACCAAATCAAGAAGAGGAGAAGAGAAGAACAGGCTCCACACAACCAAGGACTCAAAATTTCTAGCTTTAAGCTTGAATCTTCTAACTAATCAAGTAAGTTAGCTATAAGAAGGAAAAAGAGATTATTTTTCAATTTTAGAAGAGTGGAAGAAAATTTGGATTTAGAGAACTTCTCTTTAGTTCTCTCTAAGATTTTCTAAAACATGAGTTTATGAGACTCACGTCTTAAGAAAATCCTTACATACTCTTCTTGGGGTTGAAGCAACTTAACGACACCGGAGACTATCTTAAAGACACTCAACTCTCAAGGTTCCTTGACCACCAGCGTTCGAAAACAACACATCATATAATTAAATATGAATCAAAAAATTAATAGTTACAATGATAATTTTTAATTTGCGACATGATTTTGAATCAATTTTTTTTATTCATTCAAAACGTGAAACTTGTAACATTAGGTTCACCTATATAAAAATCATGAAATTATAAAAAGATTTATAAAAATCGTGTAAAAAATATATTTCATGAACAAATAGAAAATAATATGAAATTATATATTTTAAAAAATTTTATTTTCATCATGTATATAACATTATTGATTTAAACTTTAGTTTCATTTAATAGATTTCAAATAAATGAATCTAATAAGATAAATTTTAAGTCTTGAATTTGTCAAAAAAAATGATTTACAAGGACTAAATTGACCTAAATTTAGGAAATAAAAAATCGGTATAAATATTTTAAAAGATAAAGATGCAAAATGAATTTTAAAAAATAAAATAAAGGACTAATAGTATAATTTAATATTTTAAATATTAATAATTTATTTAAAAATATTAAAATCCAATTTAAAAGTAAAGATAAAAATAAGACATTAAAAGAGATAATAGGTTAAAAAATCTCTAAAATAAAATTCTCTAAAATTACTATTGTGAAAAAGAAGTTCCTAAAAATTCTCTTACTTAAAGAAAATTTTCAAGTTTCTATGTAAAGAATTTAAAAATAAATATAAAAAAATAATAAATTAAAAGAGATAAGAAAAAAAAATACTCCTTACAAATACTTTCGTTCAATGAAGTTTTTTTTCTTCTAATTTATATATATGAAGGATATTTAACTTAAATAAACATTTGTTTACAATTTTATGTATCATTATTATTTTACCGAGAAAAAAACTATACATTATTCGATCACAAATCTATGTACGATAAATTTATTAAATTTTATAATAATTATTTTAAAAATTATACTGACAATAACTTTTACATATTTACATATGAAAAAGTTTATATTAATAGTGGATAATTATTAAATTTTATTATATATTTAAAATAAAACTATATATATTAATTGTGTAAAGAAATTTTACATTATTATCCAATTATAAATTATTATTATTATTATTATTATTATTATATTAAAATTGTTGATTTTTATAATAGATATCTCAAAAGTTATATGATTTTTTAATTTATTGATATTACAAAAAAAAAATTAGGAGTATGTTTTTTAAGATATTTGAGTTGTTTATAAGTTCTTTAATTAACTCACATTAACAAAAATAAATTTATTTAGTATGAGAGTTTATTTAAGAAAGTTTATAATTTATTTTCATAAGCTAATTGAAGTGATTTATAGTTTATATTTTCTCTTTATTTTTTTTATCTATTAATTTACTTAAAAAAATTCTCTTTTTTTATCTAAAAATCCTTTGTCTATCATCTCATTTTTTCACTCTCATTATCAATTAAATAAATATGTCATTATTTATTAGTCAATTCAATTATTATTTATCAAATATTTTCAATTGAATTAGTTAGTTTATAAACCTCCATTTTTTTTAACTCATACCTCATAATTTATAAACCTCCAATTTTTTAACTCATAACTCATAATTTATAAGCCTTCAATTAGCTTATAATTATAAAGTTTTCAATTTTTCTACTCGTGACTCATAACTTACAAGTTTTCTTTCCAATACCATGGTTAATTGTAGATTGTTAACCGTTTAGTCGTTATTACACTGAATGCAATTTCTATACACAAGATTTTGTACCTTAGTATTTAGTTATTAATGAGATTTCTGTCAAATTTACTAATTTATGTTCAATAATAAATCTCAAATGTTATGTTTATATTAAGTTACTAAATTTGAATAACATCAGTAAGGTAAAATGGAAAGTATCAAGTAGATTATACGAAGTGTAGTTTTAATTTCAAGACTAATATATATATATATATATATATATATAAAAGGAGTGGTTGATTTATTTTAAGAGTAAGTCTATTTAGATTTAATCTATTTAATCACTCATATCTTATATCAAATTTCAATTATTCAATTGTTGAATTAAAGGTTTCTAATACATAGATTGAGTTTGTTAATTTTTAAAAAAATTAAAAAATATTTAATATTTTATTTCATTAATTCAAATCAATGTATAAAATATTTTTATGATTATTTGTTAATTTAAATTAATGAAATAGAGTATTAAATAATTTTTATTATTTTTAATTTCGCAAAAATTTAATATAATGATTAGATTTAGGTGTAACCTGCTAATTTAAGATTTATTTGATAACCTTATTTGGGAATATAGTACTTATTTATTTTGCTCCTAGTACAACCACTATGTGAGTAGGTTCTGATTAAGATGAATGAATTTATATATATATATATATATATATATATATATTTCTCTTATA